CCCCTTTTAAAGGAAGGAACAGGGTACGGGGGATCCCTAAAAGACTGATTAGAACTCCTTATAGAATTCATTTGTAGTACAGATTCTGAAGTGAACTACATGCTGATCCACACAAGAGTTCAGGAGGTACGGATTAGGTATGTTTGCTTAGGAATTGGAGCCAATGGATGCCTCCCCCCATCCCTCCTCTGAACTCAGTAGGACTTACTGCTTAGGAACAGGTTGTAAAAGTGTCTTTTCTTAAACCCTTTGAGTAAGTAATATGCTGCTGATAGTTAGAAATACCACCTTGTCCACACCATTTGTTGTGTGGGCGAAGCCATTCTGAGATTGTGCTCTAAAGTACAAAACAAAATTATAATTCAGAAAACTTTATGTAACACTTGCATTGCATTCAACTGATCTGCTTTGGAGTAATAGACTTTCAACTCAAGTCACAACCAGAACTAATACGACACTTATTCTGTGCATCAGAGGGCAATGCTTCTTGACAACTTTATCTGTTACAAAAAGCAAGCTTCTGGTCACTGTAGGGGCAGTAAAATTATTTACAGGACTTGGCTAGCAAATGGGGACTTGGGCAGAGTCTCCTGAGGTGTAAATCCAGTCCTGTCCTGGTGCTTTGCCAGGACAGTAATTCTCAGTTAGGAAGAGGACTTCAGAACTGAGCCTCAGCTGAATCCATATAAAATACATGATTGAAAACACAGCCATGTCTTATGTAGATCAATGCATTAGTTGCTCTGTCAAAAGTCCCTGATGGCTACATTTGATAAAACCCCAACAAAATGTATGACAATGGTTGGGGAGGCTGAATCCAAGCTGTGGAGACTACCCATGGCCACTAAGTCATGATGACTTTATTACTTCCAGTAAGAGATAGTTTGCCTCTGACTACCAGTTGCTTGGGATCTCAAGTGGGGAGAATCCTTGTGTAGGGTTGCCATATTTCAAGAAGTAAAAATCCTGAGACCTCAAAAGTTGAGGTGTTTTTAAAATGCAAAACCCCCAAACTGCTGAACTTTGTTGAGCTTTATTCACGATTTTTCAGTTCACTTGCCAGAGATCCACCAACAAACAACCGCCTTCCAGAAATTCACCCTGGACTTCCGCCTTTGAAGTATGGCAGCCCTATCCTTGTCAACTTCCCATTGGCACCTAGCTCAGCACTGGGCACCACCTAGATAGGCCTTTGGCAACAGGGTTCTTCAGGAGGAGATTATATTCTTCAGGAGGAAATTATATGGAGATGAAGGAGCCATTGCTTGGTGGATCCTTTGATACATGTAAATAGTGCATTTGATAGTGTTCAATCTTCCACCAGAGATTCAGGTTACAGTAGTGTTTGTGAGTGCTTCCTCCAAGGTATACTCGAGAAAAAAAATGCTTCAGCCTCTCCATTCCCTGTTGAAACATGGTGATTGTGATTAGACTTCAGAAGCATCTAGAGCTACTTACTACCACAGCTTGCCTACCCCAGAGCTGGGTTACTGAGAGCAAAGCAAAATTAGCATTTTCTCTCTGGATCTCTTATTTTCCTCTGCACTCCTACTTCAGATCAGTTGGGTAAAATGACCTTGAATGTACATATAGGTGATGCAATACAGGTAGCAGGGGAAACAGGGCTATACTTTCGTTCCTGCTTTTCCTGATGTTCTGTCAGGGCCAGCCCTACCATTAGCCAAAGAGAGGCAGCTGCCTTAGGCTGGAGTGGTAAGATCAAGTGAGGCTTTGGAGGGCAACACAGTGTATGCTGCCTGCTTCTTCTAAGCTAGTTTGCTGCCTTCAGGTGTGGTGGAAGATGCAGGTAAAGGAATACTGATGAAGACAGGTTCAAATACCAGTCTATTTGGATTCCTTATGCGGAATGGAGGGAGGCATCTTGCCCTTTGCCTCAGGCAGCAGAATGTCTTGTGCTTGTGTCAGTCATCTGGGTTTATTCTTTTGCTTCATGGGAGCAGAGCATCCATGCCATGTGTTCTGCCAAGGCCTTTGCCTGATGGGGCTATCCAGTTTGCAACAATTCAGAAGAAAAAGAAGCACAAATACTGAAACTATTTGATTTCAATGTTACTAGGCTATAAATCCTACCTTTGTAAAAAAAAAAAAAAATGTAAAAAATTGTCAGAGCTCAAAGCCCCAAACTGTAGTTTGAGAGAGAGGAAAAGCAAAAAGAGAGATTAAACTTGTCTTTGCAGCAGGGATCAGTTTAGTCACATATTCAGTGACTAGCATACTTAATCAGTGATTTATCCTGCTCTTCATTCATCATGGCAGGGATGAAATGGTATGCAAGGACAGGATATAATCCGTTCACACTCTGCAGGCAGTGGCACAGAGTGATGCTGGCACCACATTAGGCTTCATTAACCCTGGAACATGTTGCACATTCAGGCTTGGCACTCTTATACAGCAGGCAGGCAGTAACCCATGAGTAATCGCATTACCTACAACCAACTGTATCCACATGGAATTGGGGAACACAATTACATCCTTTTGAGATTCAATTAGGAAGCTATGGGCATACTCATTTTCATAACTCCAATGTAGGCTTCAACAGCCCCTTTGAAGCAGACTATTTCATTAGGAGAAGGAGTAAATAATGAACATAATGGACAGCTCTTATTTCACCCTCCCCCCTTGTGCTTCAGTTTGTGCCTTAAAGGACTTCCCAACATATTTGTGCTTCCTATACATGGGGAGAAAATGCGGCATTCTTATTTGTCCACAACATACATGGATTTCAGACTGAATTGCATCAGAGATGCATATACAAGCACTCACAATCATCAAAAGTTGATTTTGGGGGCTGGTTGATTTCATCCTGCCCCCCGTGGCAGCATATGCCCTGGGGTCAAATGCTTTAAAAAGCTCTTTGAAAAAAGTTTGGGCACATCTGCCACAGAGGAACATAGAAAACATGGGAAATTGCTTTATGCTAAGACAGACCATTAGTCAATCTAGCTCAGCATCGGACATTCTAATGAATCTAAGCCCTTTTTGGAAATTCTGGGGGTTGAAATGGGAACCTGTCATAGGCAAATAAGATACAAGGCTGCTGAGCTACAGCCCATAGCCTACTAGTTGGTGTATCCCAGTGACTGTGGGATCAAGATTGACATGTGTGGGCAATGTCAGCCATTGCAAAATAACATTAAAAAGAGGCATTTCTTGTGAAATAATAGTACTGCACAGATGCATTTAGAAGCAGAGCAGACCATCATATTTTCATGCATTTATGTAAGAGGAATGAATTATACACATAAGGACAGAGGAGAGGTGTTTTCTCGTCTTGACTTATTTTATGCTAAAAATGGGCCCCAAAGTGTCAAATGATCTGGCTCCTCAAGATTGTGTCCTTTTGGCAAGGGGAAACGTCTGGATACCCAAAATGACTGTACCCTCAGACAGTTGGCCATGGAACTGACCAGGGCCGTCTTTAGCAATTGCGCCGCTGGGGTGCAAAAATCCACCAGGCACCTTTTTTGGGGGGTGGGGGTGAACTCATTGTTGAGCTTTTTTGGGGGAGGGAGGAAACAATGACGCAGTGGAAAAAACTGCTTTTGTTTTGTTTCCTGACTCATCGGGAATATTTGACGCTATGGAGTGACAGTGATGGAGGAGGGGGCAGGGACTGTAGCTCTATTGCTTTTCACTGCCGCCGATTGAGAGGTATAAATTTGGCACCCCCCAGTATTTGGCGCCCAGGGGCTCCACACCCCTTGCACCCCTGGGTAAAGACGGCCCTGGAACCAACCAGCGGGACAGTGATTGTGGATTTAGTCTTGAGTGGCACCCAGGACCTGGTGTGAGATGCTAGTGTGGTTGTGCCAGTTGGGAGCAGTGACTATAAACTAAACATATGTATAAATGGAGAGTTGCCAAGAAAGTCCAGCAGAGCTGGAGTTCCACCTTACTCGTTTTCCCCTTTCCAAATGTATGTGGCACAGCAGGATAATATAAGTGCGGTAAGGCGCGTTTAAATGCTAGAACTGTGCAAATGCTCAGGGCAGAATATGCATTCATTCCCGTCCTTTATTCTCCAGGCTCTGCAGATACTATTGTTGGAAGTGTTGAATATTTAAAAATAATGCTGGTTAATATTGAAGAAGCATGACAGAGGAAAATAATCTCATTCCCTTGATCCTGCTGATTAATTTGCATATCGCAGATCACCACTGACAGAGCTTCTATATGGCGTGATCTGGCTCTTTTGCAATTGCATATTGTGTAAGTGTGGTGTGTGTGTGTCATGTCAAACTTTTCATCATGACCATGTCAGCTGCGGTAATCACGCTAATAATTTAATCAGATTCACATTTACTTTGGGTTTCAGTTTTGTCTTCCAATTCTGCACCCCCCCCCGCTTTATCATTAGTTTTAATTAATCCCTACATGCCAGGGAAACTGGTCAAATTCAGCAGTCATTATTAGTCATCGAGGTTTCAGAAAACTGGCAGCGAATCTCTTGCATGAGTTCTGCTCCTCTAATTGACTGCAGCTGTGGCCCTTTATTAAGACAATAAAAAGGGAGCCACGCAATCAGGAATCGAAGCACCTCAATGAAATGATGAAATGGTGACCAAAGGACACGAAGGCATTGCAAAAGAAATTCCAGGACTTTGGGCTCTGCAAAGAGATATTTTTCTTTGGACTGCCAGAACATGCAGGGAAAGACATAAATTATGTCTCCAGTGATTACATGACCTTTAATCATATATATGAGATCAGCAAACTGCGCACAGTTATGCCGCTAATTAAGGTTCCCAAAAAGCTCAGCTCGGGGCATTTTATTACATCTGAAACTTTATTTTACAGATTTAATAGGTCTAAGACTATGGCTGCTTTACTGGGAAGCAAATGCCATTGATATTGTTGAGATTTACTTGGCTGCAAATGGAAGAAAGGTGTAAGAACAATTTCATCCAAGCTCTACATAGAATCAGAGAGATGGAAGCGACCACGAAGGGCATCTAGCCCCCTGCAATGCAAGAATCTTTTGCCCAACGTGGAGCACAAAATCCATGACCCTGAGATTAACAGTCTCGTGCTCTACCAAGTGAGCTATTCCAGCAGTCCAAATAAGGATTGAAATTTTGTGTCCGTTTCACTCATTCATAGCTCTGTTACACCCAAGTGGCTCTGCAGCCAATACAACCCTCCTTCCTCACTTTATCCTTTAAATTGCAAGGGGATCTCCTCCTCCAAAGCTTCATAGAATCATAGAATTGTAGAGTTGGAAGGAACCGCGAGGGTCTTCAACCCCCTGCAATGCAAGAATCTTTTGCCAGTGTGGGGCTCGGACCCACAACCCTGAGATTAAAAGTCTCATGCTCTGCCAACTGAGCTATCCCATTATTCAACCTGAAGAATTCTTTCGACAGCTTTCTTGGGCTCAGAGGACAAGCTGACTGGGTGGTCTTGGGTCAGTTGCTATCTGTCAGCGTAACCAACCTCACAGGGTTGTTGTGAGGATCAAATGGGAAGCAGGAGAACCATGTATGCCACCTTGAACTCCTTGGTGGAAAGATGGGATATAAACAAAAAGCCTGCGTGACAACTGAAAAATAAATGTATGCGAGTTGTCTGTATCTCTGCCTTTAGAAAAGAAAGATTTTTTTCCATATTTTGGATATGTGCCTTTTCCTGTTATGTTTGCTTTGACTAATGTTTGTTTTTTTATTTTTGGAAAGCCAAATTATTGTTTCCTGGCAGTACAGAATTTTATTTTATTGCTAGCGATTTGAACTTCAGCAAACAAACACCACAAAGACTGCTTTGGAAAGTCCATTATCTTGCTGGCATTTCCCTGTTATGCTTGGAATAAAAGAGAAGCAAAATGATGCCAGCAGCATCTTTATGGTATGCTGGTGCTCAGAGATTTCTTCATCTTGTGCTGGAAAGCAAAACCACCATGAGGAGAGAGATTGCGTGCCTGGGAGGAGAAGAAGCCAGGAAAACTCTGTCAAAGTTAAGAAACAGCCTTCCCTTTGCCCATCTTTGAGAGCTCTGGTTTCAATAAAGAATTCTCAAGGCTCCCTCACACTTTTTTGCCAGATGCAATCTGTTGAAAGAAATGTACAATTATGGCACCCTGCCAGAGACTTAACAAACATCCTGTTTTTGCTGCCTGAGCTTGCAAAAACAGGAGCTTTGCCATGTAACTAGATGGCCACAGTTACTCGTTAAGACATCTTACCAGTCTGTGGCTTGTGCTAACCATAGTTCAGAATCCAGAACTTGGTCCGAGTTTCCAGACTCTTAGGCAAACCATGGTTTATCACTGGTGGTCTGCTTTCATTCAGTATTCCTGAACTCTTCACTCCAGTTTCTTTGGTGCAGACAGGGCCCCCAGAGCAGCAGCCACGGCTGCCTATCAATTCAGCTGTAGTACAAGCCATGACTAGCAAAGCTACTGCAAGCCATGGTTTCTTATTCTGATTTGTCAATCACACCTGACCATATTTAAGCTTCCTTGAATGTAGCTAGTGAGATATGTTTGGCTTGTTGAATTGGAAACTGTGCTTATGCAGGCTTGATCTACTAGAACATCGCTTTGATTAATCCATCCATGTGCAAAGGTAAGACATCAAAGGACAGTTGTTTTCTATGCAACACCTTATCTTTGAAAACATACCCAAGCAAAAGCTGCCTTTCCTCTGAGAACACCCTGAAACATTATCATTTAAAATCTGGACTAGCTTATGGTGGCTAGGATGAAACTTTCCAATAGATGAGATTATTAAGTTTTACTGTTGTTTCACTTTATTTCAATTTTATGTGACAACTGAAAATGTTCTCAGGTGATCATTCTAAAAGTCAAAATGCTTCAATCAGCCTTTTGTCGCATCCATTTTAAAGGCCTTTTAAAACTTGCCAGGAATGTTAGACTACATTCAGGATGAGAAACTGACCACTAGGTCCTGTTATACTTTCTTCTAGCTATATGCCAGAAACCATGATGAGCTTATACAGAGAGGCATTCTCTCCAGCTAACCAGCAGCAAGGAAATGGGTGTTTCTTTTGGTCAGCCATTGCAGTAGCTATTGGAGGAACGACATTCTTCCCAGGACACTGCGCCCATGTTCCTGATATGCTACTATGACGCATGCTAGCGCACCAAAGATGGTGGGTAGGGTGGAGGGAATGGTAGCCTTGTCTTCCTTTCCTTTCAGGGCATGCTATTGCTGCTGTTCCTTGTGCTCCTTCCTGAAAAAGAATGGAGGTGAGGCATTAATTACAGAAGATGAGACTGCTGGATCAGGCCAATGGCCCACCTAGTCTGACATCCTGTTCTCACCATGGCCAACTAAATGGCTATGGGAAGCCCAAAAGCATGGGAGAGAGACAGGGATTGAGGAGGGCTGGGGGCAAGTGAATTCCAAATGTTGGATCGGCTCAGAAAATAAGCCAAGTTGTTTTTCATTTTATGTTGTGAACCATGCTATGCTCTTCGGATGAAGGGTGGCATTCTTCTTCTTCTTCTTCTTCTTCTTCTTCTTCTTCTTCTTCTTCTTCTTCTTCTGGGACATAGCTCTGATGATTTTCATGCAAGCTAGCTGATCTATTAATTGAGCCTTCTTCTGGAGGACTGGAATCTTGCCTCACATCATCTACACCTTTGTAGCTCCCAGAAGATAAATGTCTGATCGACACTCTGTGCAGGATTCTATGGGCAGCTGGAGCTGGAGCAGACTTCTAATCTACCTTCTGTCAGGTGGAGATGAGAGAACACATTTTGTACTAGCTGCATTAGCTCCCAGTTGCTTCTTGGCTCAGTTCAGTATGCTGATTCTCTAATAGCCTTAAACAGAAGAAACTGACAATCCAGGTCATATATATCCTGTTTTATAGATGTAGTACAATTTGTGTTTTTAGCGCTCTCTCTCTGCATTTTTTAAAAAACCTTTTATATTGTTGCAAACTACCTTAAGCACACAGAGAGATGGGAATAAATGTTTTACATAAATAAACATTTCAACCAAACAAAACGACTCACTGAAAATATCCAGTAATAGATTCTTGGTCTAAACAGATTCTACAAAAGTTTCAAGAGTTTGAGTGGTAGTGCTCTGCCCTGAAGGGAAAACACAGTTGTCTTGTCTGTTTTAAATGGCAGGAGAAAATAGGATTTCTCAATATTATGCCCTAAATAGAGTTCAGAGAGCCTGGGATTACCAGTGCAGGGTTCAGATTTGTCGAGCTGACAGTTCTGGCCACTAAATCCTATTGGGTCAGTCAAATCCATGATGGCGTTGAAAGGTTTACTAGACTTTGCACTGGGGATTTGCAACAACAACAACAACACAACTCTCAGTGACAACAGCACATGCCGCAGCAGCACACCCCGATTTGCAGAAGGCAGTTCATCGTACCAAAATACCTGCCCAAAAGTTGCACACAAAGACACTACTTAAAGTTAGAAAATAACTGAAAGAGTGGCTGGAGAAACCCAGCCAGATGGGAGGCATAGACTTCATTCATTCATTCATTCATCCATCCATTCATTCATACTTTGTATGTATACAAACTTATACCAAAAGCATCGATTGTGGGAGGGGAGAAAGAGCAGACTCTGGAGCAACCACAATAAAAAGGGTGAGGGAAATGTGCTTTCTCAAAGAAGCTAGATATACGACCACCACTTTTTAAAGAGCCTGTCTTATGCATAAGGTGGGGACAGGTTTGTTTGGTGTTTTTTAATGGAAAGATGCTTTAATGTGTCCATGTGCACATGCAGTCAAAGTGTGTGAAGGGTCATTATTTTCCCCCAGTAGCCATTTGAGCACAGGGACTGAGTGTGTAGCATCACTGGGATGCTGCCATTGCTCACAGGGCTGGCATCAAGGGTTGGCATAGTTGATCACCTGCTGAGGTCCACAACCTCAGAACCTCCAAGTCCTGCTTCTCCACTTTCCTGCTGTTGCTGCCTATATTTACCTCTCCTCTTAAAGGACCCCTGACCATTAGGTGCAGTCGTGACCGACTCTGGCGTTGCGGCGCTCATCTCGCTTTATTGGCCAAGGGAGCCGGCATTTGTCCGCAGACAGCTTCCAGGTCATGTGGCCAGCATGACTAAGCCGCTTCTGGCAAACCAGAGCAGTGCACGGAAATGCCGTTTACCTCCCCCCCCCCGGAGCGGTACCTATTTATCTACTTGCACTTTGATGTGCTTTCGAACTGCTAGGTTGGCAGCAGCAGGGACCGAACAATGGGAGCTCACCCCATTGCGGGGATTCGAACCACTGACCTTCTGATCAGCAAGTCCTAGGCTCTGTGGTTTAACCCACAGTGCCACCCGCGTCCCCTACCTCTCTTCTTACAGGCATGCAAACAAATGACTGAAGTGACGAAATGGGGTATCTTTCTCTTACCTTGGATACTGATTCCGGATGGCTCTGTGGATGGTGTGCAGAGAAAGAAGGAACTTGAATGGGCAGTTGTGGCAGCGATAAGGAGGAGATGTTATGATCCTGAGGTCAGTTTTCCCTTCTTTGGAGGATGAGGACTCCAAATCAGAAGGGGAATTGCACCCTCAGAAGCACTGCCATCAAGATGAGCTTCTGGTGGCAGTGTTCTTCTGTCCAAAGGATGCTACATTGCCAACCTCTAACTAGGAGTACTTCATGACAGAAGTCCTATCACAACCAGAATCTCTTCTGCTGCACCGGAATAAAAGACTGCTGGAGACACCTGGGCCCCTTTAAATGAAAAGGCATCTTTCATTGAAAGTAGAGTTTACAACTGAAGATGAATTGCTGCACCTAAAGTCTAAAGGAACTGTTGTTGCAGAAACAAAATGGTTCTGCTGCCCATGCCCATATTGTGGAAGAATGAGGTGAGGCATTAATAACAGAAGAGGAGACTGCTGGATAGCCCATCTAGTCAATAGCCCATCTAGTCTGATATTCTGTTCTCACCGTGACCAACTAAATGGCCATGGGAAGCCCAAAAGCATGGAAGAGAGACAGGGATTGAGGAGGGTTGGGGGCAAGTGAATTCCAAATGTTGGATCGGCTCAGAAAATAAGCCAAGTTATTTATCATTATAAGTTGTGAAACCACCCTATGCTCTTTGGATGAAGGTTGGTCTTTTTCTTCCAACCCGTCACTACATAGGTAACATGTAGTATGACCGGGACATGTATGGCAAATGCTCAATTGTCCAGTAGTCTTTATTGCTGAATATATAGGGATGAAGATAAAATTTGATTCCATACACATTTGAAGTCAACTTTATCAAATTCACAAGGGACGCGGGTGGCGCTGTGGGTTAAACCACAGAGCCTAGGACTTGCCGATCAAAAGGTCGGTGGTTTGAATCCCCACGATGGGGTAAGCTCCCATGGCTCG